CTTACCTTTCCTGCCCCGATCTGGCTACAGTGATCCATGCGACGGTCACCTCCAGGCTTGACTACTGTAATTTGCTCAACGTGGGGCTACCATTGAAACTGTCCCAGAAACTCCAGCGGGTGCAGAATGCCACAGTAAGGCTCCTCATGGGGTCCCTGCCATGGGAGCATATTCACCCAGTGCTTTACCAGTTGCACTGGCTCCCAGTTTAAGGTGCTGGTTTTGCCCTTTAACGCCCTTTGTGGCTTAGGGCCCTCGTATTTACGGGACCGCCTCTCCTGGTATGCCCCGCAGAGGACCTTAAGGTCCATGAATAATAGTTTAGAGGTCCCAGGCTCTAAGGAAGTCAGATTATTCTTTACTAGGGCCAGGGCCTTCTCTGTGATGGCTCCGACCTGGTGGAATGCTCTGTCCCATGAGACCAGAACCCAGCAGGATCTAACTTCCTTCCGCAGGTCCTGTAAGACAGAGCTATTCCGCCTGGCTTTCAATTTGAACTTAGCCTGATCTTTTATTCCCCTTCCTTCCCTCCCCTTTTTATGAAGATTACCTGCTCTGGGATCCCACAGCTAATTCTACCCTGATCTCCTCGCTGGCCCAAATAGGACTAATTTAGCCAGCTTGCCCTGATGATCATCTAATGTTTGTTGGATTGATTTTCCCCCTAAATTGATTTTTGAATTCTGAATTTATTGTTATTCATGTTTTATATTGTATTTTATGCTGTTTTTTGTTGTTGCATCAATTAAGTGTTTTAAATTTGTTGTTAGCCGCCCTGAGCCTGGTTTTCTGAACTGGGAATAAATAAAAATTTATTTATTTATTATATTTATTACTATAAATGAACTAAAAACTATTAATGAATGTAGTTTAATATTAGGTAAGATATGGCATAATTTAAAAAAATTATGTTTCTAAATAGTCCTATTTAGTTGCTTTATGCACTTCCTCACTGAAGGGGTAAGGGCAAGAAGTGTCATCAGCACAATTACTGCCAGAATATTTTATTTGAGAATTGTGAAACACTATAATGCATATTGGGCAGCAACGGATGAGGAGTGGTGGAAAAAAGGAAGAGAAGGGTTTGTTTTATTGTGGAGATAAGAGGGATCAGAACGTTTATATCTGATCATTGTTTCTGCAGAGGCATGTCGCGGTTCATGGTACAGTGTTGTGTTTCACTGACTCAGTCAAATGATCTATAAGAGCTCACTAATGCCCTTTAGTATGCACAGTAAGGTTGGCTAAGACTTGCTTGAACTCAGCAAAGCAAATAGCTGGTATTTATGCATCTTCTAACTTTATGTGAGGGACACGGGTGGCGCTGTGGGTTAAACCAGAGCCTAGGACTTGCTGATCAGAAGGTCGGCGGTTCGAATTCTCGTGACGGGGTGAGCTCCTGTTGGTCAGTCCCTGCTCCTGCCAACCTAGCAGTTCGAAAGCACGTCAAAGTGCAAGTAGATAAATAGGTACCACTCTAGCGGGAAGGTAAACGGTGTATCTGTGCGCTGCTCTGGTTTGCCAGAAGGGGCTTAGTCATGCTGGCCACATGACCCGGAAGCTGTACGCCGGCTCCCTTGGCCAATAAAGCGAGATGAGCGCCGCAACCCCAGAGTCAGCCATGACTGGACCTAATGGTCAGGTGTCCCTCTACCTTTACCTTTAAGTTTATGTGAATCACAGTGAAATCCACCACAACACCAAAGGCATTATCTGTGAGTCAAGCTGGTTTTGTGTACTACGATGGCACAGATAATGCCTCTTCAACCCAGCTCCATCTGCATGTAGTTATATGGAACTGATTTATAGCTGTCAACTTTCAGATTTGAAAATAAGGGATCAGCAGCCTCACCTGTCCCCTTGACAGTCTACGGGGTATCTAACAATCCGGGATAGCAGCGGGAAGCAGCAGGAAACGGTGCTGGAATAAGGGAATTTTCCACAAAAAAAGGGAAGGTTGACAGCTATGAACTGATTGTATCAGACTGTGGATGGGGATACACATCCTGAAAGTAATTGGATGTCCTTATTTTCATCAGAGTAATGTTGGAGGGTATGCAACTCCCTCATTCAGATGCATGTTCTCATTCAGATCTTCTCTGCTCAGGGCATTATTGCTTTACCCAGTAAATCTCCAGAGGAATTTAACATTTTATCAATTAAAAACAACAAAAGTTTGGGAAGTTAGCATCAGTTTTACAGTGTAAAAAAAGCTCAGCTTTTTCCAACATCAAGGCTTTCCTCTATAGTTCCTAAAGGATTTCTTTTTAGAAACCTTTACATTGTGTTAAACCTCGAATTTGGTATTAAAGGGCAGTTTATGTTTGATGCATGGAAGTTTGAGAATTTTAATCCTCTTAAAGATACCATATTAGTAAGAACTATATGCAACAGCTACTTGCTTTAAGTGGGGCATGCAGATCCCTTATAAAGCCACCCTATGAAACTTTTAAAGAAAACCAGGTCACTACTACACTAAAAAACAAATATGATAATACAATTATGGCTTTCCTGAAGGAAGTGTGGGAATAATAGTTTGTGAGGTTCTTGAACAACAAGGATTCTGTTAGAACTCTCCCAAAGCCAGAGTCCCTGGAATTTCATGAAATGAACTAATGCTACAACAGCTTTATCAATTTAATGGAAGCAGTTATTAACTGGTATACAATATAGTGTTATCTTTAATGTTTCTGGTAATATATAGGGGTTGTATCCTTTTTCTTTTACTATATGGACACACAGTAAGGAATCAAAGCCATTGCTGGCTTCCTGAAACATTTGTAAGAAATTTCAAAAGAGGTGGGTGGCTCTCAGTTTATGGGGAATATTGGGAATCTTATCATTTTAAAAGTGCATCATGTATAGGAGGGCATCCATTATTTCTGTAATGTGTGAAGATACACCTGGAGGCTGGATGGGAATTATCTGGTCTGGGGCTGTATAGTCGATTAGTCCAAAGCAGAGGATAAAATTTATAAGATTCTAGCTGGTTCCATTGCTGCAGATACAGCTCAGATTACTTACCATTAAGTAATCTGACTTACCATTGTCAGGCTGACCTTGAGCTCAGGCCTATGACTTATGAAATTCTGTTCTTATGTGTTTTTGATAGGGAAGCGAAGTATGTTGGGAGGATTAATTTGATTTATAGTAGGGGGTCCTTTTTATGTTCCCTTTATTTGGTGTGGGAGCTGCTGCAGAGTTAAGTAGGAGATGAAAATGGCCATCCAACTGGCAAACACAATGAGCTCATTTTTGTTTTGCAATTGAGCCCCCTGATGGCAACAAGGCTTTCATTTTGGGTTGGTCTTCACAAAAGGGAATATACACTGGCTGCTTCATTACAGTTTGTACTCCAAAGTAGATCACTTTTTAACAGCTACTACTAATGTGTAGCTACTACTAATGTGTAGACAGCATCTTAAAAAGCAGAGACATCACCTTGCCAACAAAGGTCCGTATAGTTAAAGCCATGGTTTTCCCTGTAGTGATGTATGGAAGTGAGAGCTGGACCATAAAGAAGGCTGATCGCCAAAGAATTGATGCTTTTGAATTATGGTGCTGGAGGAGACTCTTGAGAGTCCCATGGACTGTAAGAAGACCAAACCTCTCCATTCTGAAGGAAATCAGCCCTGAGTGCTCACTGGAAGGACAGATCCTGAAGCTGAGGCTCCAATACTTTGGCCACCTCATGAGGAGAGAAGACTCCCTGGAAAAGACCCTGATGTTGGGAAAGATGGAGGGCACAAGGAGAAGGGGACGACAGAGGACGAGATGGTTGGATAGTGTTCTCGAAGCTACCAGCATGAGTTTGACCAAACTGTGGGAGGCAGTGGAAGACAGGAGCGCCTGGCGTGCTCTGGTCCATGGGGTCACGAAGAGTCGGACACGACTAAATGACTAAACAACAACACTAATGTGTAGCACTGGTGGTGTTTTAGTAGTATTTTTGTGCTGAACGGTCAAGCATTGGTTTAAATTGCTTAATATGCAAGAGAAGGCGAGAGAAGCTGAGATTAACTAGGGAGCCAATGGTGTGTTTGGTCAGTAAAAACACATGAAACTCATACCCAGCGAAACATACCTATTTGGCTCTAGGTGTGCAGAATTGGCCGTGGCCTCGGATGGGGATGCACATTCTGCAGCTATATCTAAAAGGATGCATTCTAGATAGCTCTTGGTCTTGCCTAGATGGTCCCAGGTGAGCACTGCAACCATAAGGATGTGTATCCAGATGCACACCCACACCTGTATGAATGCAAACCACAAACACACTACTTGTTAAAATGTCTCTTTGGGCTGGGTCTTGCTGCTAGTTGGCCCCAGTGGCATTGATTCCAGTTTTGACTGATGGTAAAATGAAGAGCAATTAATCAGAACACCAATGCCATTACCATTAACTGATTCAACTGAAAGGGGTATTTTCTACATTAGTTCTTTCCCCCCAAGGACAGTTTTAATTCCAGTTATTGATTCATTCCCCGTCTTGATTACACCAGTGGGAACTGTACAGTATCATGTAATGCAGTGTGAATTAACCTGCTAACAATTATTGCCCTTGATTGGGAGATGCAAAAATATTAAATTGCTTGGGTCACAGTTTCACACTCCCATTGAGAAACTGCTCAGAAGTGACTTTTCAGACTACTGGAGAACACCCCAACCCCCACTTAAAACAGACAGCTTCTGTTGATGGAGGAATTTGCAAGCTTAAATTACCCTGAATTATTCCCTGCCAGAATAAAAAACCCAATTCCTAACGGTAACTTTCCAGTAATGGAGGTTCTCTATGAATGAAACTATATGCGCCATGATTTTATGAGCCATTTCTCTGAAGATCATGCACTTTTACAGCTAGGTCTTTGCACCAATGTTGAGACCTGACACCACCCCCAACATTGCAGCCATCCATAATCCCTGTGCTGCATAACTCTTGCAGCAGTTGAAGAAGAGTGGCTCATAGAATCCTAAGTGTTGGAAGGGACCATGCAGGAATCTTCCATCCTACGTGAGGCTCAAACCCACAACCCTGAGATTAAGAGCCTCACATGCTACCAACTGAGCCATCGACCTAGGATTAAGGAAGAATAGAGGGCAAGGAAGGCTTGCGCTATAGCCAAGGATATGTGACAATGGCCTTGGGTAGGTTCTACATAGGAACACACACCTGGAAGCAAAGATGAGCATCCTTTTGCCATTGGTATCCTTTTGCCATTGTCTTGACCCAAGATGGGGGCACTTGTAACCCTTCAAATGTTGGATTCCTGCTCCATCAACCCTGCCCATTGGGGTTGGAGTCCTATAACAGCTGGCTCCCAACTCTGGCCTGAACCCACCTTCCTTACTGGTTGTCATTTTGGTGGCTCTTAGAATACCATTAAGGAATAGTTGTGAAAAAGAACCCTAACACCCTACTTCTCAGTTCAAGTAAGATGCCTGGTGTAAGGGATTTCAGAACTTTCTTTATTCCTTTAGAGGGAGCTCTTGTTCAAGAAAGCATGGAACAACCAGTTTTGACATGAAAGACATTTGTGTACTATGGAAGAGAATATGACAACCCATTAAGGCTTGCAATATGGCGCTGTTGACATTACTGCTGTTCAAGGAACTGCGCCAATGGTCACTGTCTCCAGTTATCTTTGCTGCCATACTAGCGATGGCAGCCTTATTAATGTGTGCTATGTAGAGTTACAATCCCCAGTTTGTTCCTCTGGAAGTGTATCTGTGAGTCAGGATTGTGTGGTAGGGGAACACCACCAGTGATATTATAAAGTTTATGACAATGAAAATTGGATAAGTCAGCACTTGAAAGATTTCGTCTTTCAGCAAAATCCGAGATGTTTACTCAGAGGTAAATTCTATAGGTCCTTATTTCTAGGTGCATAGGATTGCAAGCTTTGACTATACTTATAATATTCTTTATTTAGACAAGCCTTTGGGCTCCTTTGGAACTGGAATGGCTCTTGAAGTCAGTAAATTCTTTCTGCCATGCTGTCTTATAATATCTAGTTATACTTCTGCATTCACTTTTTTTGAGGGGTGTGAAAATGGGCTTATATGTTTCTGAAGAATGATGGAATTTACCTTGGCTTTAAGTATGGTGGGGTACAAATATTTCAGTTAAAACAATTTATAAAAGCTAAGCGCTATACATAAAAATGGTAACACGACCACAGTTCCTGCCTTTATGGGCACAGTCTGCAGTAGACAAGACCGTAAGGGAGGATAAGGGAAATTTTAAAATGGAGGAGATGCAAGTGATGCAATTTATAAAAGCTAAGCGCTATACATAAAAATGGTAACATGACCACAGTTCCTGCCTTTATGGGCACAGTCTGCAGTAGACAAGACCGTAAGGGAGGATAAGGGAAATTTTAAAATGGAGGCGATGCAAGTGGAGAGAAGAAGAAAAAGTTGAATTAGAAAATATAAGAATGAGATGAAGTTTTAAGGATTCTTAAAAAAAAAAAATGAGGGAAGGAAATGAAGCAGTATCACCATCAATATGCAAAGTCTATAAGAAATTCTCGCTCCAGAAGATCCCGTTCAATGCAGTCGTTGTCAACCTGCTTCCAGTTTTACATATTCACATTTACAGGAAGTTCTGGGGATTTGGGGGAGAAAAAACCCTGTAATTATGGAATTGCTGGTGGTGCTTCAAAACTGCAGTAGTATGCAAACCACTTTGCCATTAAGAAGAATCTACTTGCAAAAAAAAAATGGTGAATTATTTCTCAATGTGTTTAGAAAATCAAGGATTTGGGGAAACGTCAGTCAAATAAACAATAAAGATAGAAAGCTTTATATGTGAAATTAACATGATCTGCTTTTAAACATCTGTTCTATTACTGCAGTATCTTATAGCACAACCCCATACATGTTTACCTGAAAGTAATCTGAAATAAGTCCAATGAGATTAACTCCTTAGTTAGTACACAGAAAAATTGCGCTGCATATTCCCCCCTCCCCCAAGATAAAACTATTTTGGGAAGACCGCAGGGGCCTCTGGAAATCAAGCCAAGATAAACGACGGATCCATCAGCCTTCTGCACATTGGCTTGAGTGTCATTTTGTAGCAGAGTAAGACCAATAGTGTATAATACATCTGGTGACCTTGTGAAATATTTCTAATATTGAGATCCCTGGGATTAGATGGGTCTACTGAGAGAAGAAATGAAAAGCAGAATCGGGGAGAGATGGCAGGACCCTGGCTCTGTAGCTTACCTCTGTATTTGGGTGTGTCCTGCAAATTGACAGTGTTCTGTTGTGCCTCTACCTTTCGTTTCTGCACACTCCTGGTATGGTCACGTATGGTTTCCATGTAAGCCTGGTGAACCTAGCAGCCCCATTGACTTGGAACATGCTCCCTCCCATCTCCCCGTTTCTTCTGCACAAGAAAGAACTTCACATGGCATTGTAATTCTGAAGTGTGCATGCATGCATTTCGCCATGCAATTGTATACACATTGATGAAATCAAGCCGCTATACCAATATATTGCTTTATTTCTCGGTAGTAGTAAATTAAGGCTTTATAGTGAGTCACAGAGTACATGCCAATCTAAACATTAAAGCCCATTTGGAACCAAGTTGTGTTATCCTTTTCCGTTTAGCGCAGCCAGCAAGATACCAACTTTCTTTTAGGAAAAAAAGAAAAGACCCTCAAATCTTGCGTAAGAGACCTTATAAGTTCAAAAGGCCCAGCTCTTAACCATTTCCCCTTCAGGACAGACTTACTGTGAGCTAAGGGTGGTGAAGAGAGTAGCTGGCAAGAGATAAGAGAACATCTTACTAAGTAGTCACCTTCTAAATGGAAAGAGGAAAGAAATTAAATGGATGTTAGCTGGTATATCATAGCATTCCCCAGAATAGCTTGATTTGAGATGACCCCATCAGCCAGGGGCGGAGGAAGGGGGGCGGTGGGGGTGGTCTGCCCTGGGTGTCACCACTGAGTGTGGTGACAAAATGGCGACTGGCACTCACTGCCCCTCAGTGAGTGCCAGTCGCCTGCAACACACCCGAGCCATGTGTCTCTCCTGGGAGTGACACGGTGGCTGGGGCATACTTGGCCTTTAATGCGGTTGGATAGATATGATCAGTTTGTAGAAGGAAACTGCAAGACATTATGAGTTGGCCCATGGAAGGGCAGCATTGTACTGAAAGAATGGACATGTGTCTATGCATGTATGTACATATGGAAGCCTCACAAAGGTAATCCATTTCACTTAAAACTAATCACCCCACAAGCTATTCCACTTGTCCCATTGATTTTAGTAGCAGAGATTTAAGCACATCCTTCAACACTATCATTGCAATCACTGGGACTTTAAAGAGCTTCACTTTGCAGGGTCATAGGGAGCATTACTACAAGAATTGTTTTGTTTTCTTCCTTAACATACAGATTTTTCCTCCATACCAGGGCCACCGATTAATTACATCATCTGCCTCCAGTGCAGCTATTATAAAAAAAACACACCTGGAAAAAGAGTGTTTTCCTTCCCACATCTCCCTATAAGAGATGTTTTCAGCATCTGAACTGCCACTCAGAAACCAGTTGTCACCTGACCATGGGGGATTCCGCCTGAAGATATAATCACCCAGGGCTGGTTTTCATATCGAAGGACCAAAAAAATGCTTTGCCAAACACAAATTGGAATAGCATTTCCCAAAATACAAAGTATCTGTGAAATGATCTTCCATAAAGGAGGAAGGAGAGGGAATTTATCGAGCTTTCGAAGGGCAACGTCTTGCTGTTAATCTGAGTATCTGTGTTTTGGGAAGAATTTGGTAGTCTAGAATGAAGGTGGCAGTTTCTCTTACATCCAGGAGCCTACCCTTGCAACATGTAGCCATGGGAGAAGACTTTAGGTTATACACAAAGCATGGGAGGCAATGGGTGAGCCCAAACACAGCTAGCCAAAGCCCTGAAATAGAAACCCAAAGTGTCTTCTGCAACATATTGACGTTCTGTGGTGGCAGTTGTGCTGAGGTGCCTCAGGATTCCCTAAAGCTAGACAGTCTGAAAACTACTGATTTTGAGAAAACTCTAAAATCTATGTCAATTATGTAGAGGCAGCAATTCTCTGACCCCTTCTTAGGCTCTGAGTGGTGATTTCTGAGGCTGACAGAGCCTTGATTTCCCTAAACAGCTGCTGTCCTTCAGCCATGATTTCAAACACACTGACTTAGCATCTCTGGCAGTCCTTTGACAAGACACCCACTTGAGTTGCCATGCGCACAAGAGATTGCAACTGAGTGTCCATACAGGACCTTGCCCTTTAAGTCTGTAACGGTGCAGAAATGATAACAACTGGTCTGGCTTTTGTGGGTTTTCTTGAACTAGAGTGTACAGCATCGAAAACCACTGTTCCCCAAGGCTATGACCTTACAGGCTAATTGCTTTACTGTCTGGGAAATATCTCTCTGCCCCAGACAAAGAAATAGAAAATGCAAGTGGAAGTAATTTTAACAGCACAAGGCACCAATGCCAGCAAGAAACAAATATTGGATGCCTGTGACTCCTATCAGATGCTACGAGGAGGATTTTGCCACTGAAAATTACAAAAAAAGGCCATTGCCTTAAAAACCTTTAGTAATAAAAGAGGGTTTCTCTTCTCCAAACTGCAAGTGTCCAGACTCACTATGTATGTTGGATTTGCTGTTTTTGTGTCTCAATGAAAGAGCAGGTCATATTTTTCAAAAGTTCTGGTGTCCTTCATATTTGAGGTCTTCCCTGGTTTATTGAAACAATTTGGTTTCAACTTTGCTTCAGGTTATGGAAAAGCACCTGCAATACAGCAAGGCTTCCAGGTTTTAGAAACCAAGGAAAAGGCAGTTTTCTTAAATATTTTCAATTAAGAATCCATCGGCTGAGCCTCCTTAAGTATACCTAAGAGCTCCACTCAGACTTATTACACATCCCTGGTGTTCGTGGGGCATCAGAAATATAGCCTTTGTTTAATAGCTGTTGTTTGCATTATAAAGCTGCACTCAGAAAACTGTACCAGTTTAAAGAGGGAAAACGTGAGCTGCTTAAAGGAAATTTGTGAGAACAGAAATCCCTGGTCTGGATGCTCGTGACTTGACTCTGTAAGCAGAGCTTGTCCTGTCCTCCATTTCCCCTTCCCCTCTATGGGGATATTTATAGATTTATGAATAAACTAGAAAGTGCCTGCATGGGTAGAAAGTGAAGCACTTGAAAGGCAAGTCCTACACAGAGGGCAACAGGAGGAGGAGTGGAAAAAGGAAATGGGGATGAAATCGGGATGGGTGAGCACTGGCTTTGCTGAATGAATGTTAAGGAATTTCGGTCATAAGGCCTTTCCCAAATGTCATAACACTTCTTATTCATGCATTCTGAAGGAACTGCCTTTAAACCTCAAAAAGCTAAGGCTTCATACCATCTTTTCAGACTAATAAAAACATGATGGGCATGTATACTATTGACGTTATTCCCACTGGTCTCATTTCATGTTCTTGAGGCACTACATGGTGAGCTCAATATTAATGGAAAGTGTCATGCGTGTATTGAAAGTGTAGACCTAGCAAGGATCCTACTTTGTTGTTTTGGGCCAGCCATTCCCGAATTACAGTGGTACCTTGGGTTAAGTACTTAATTAGTTCCGGAGGTCCGTTCTTAACCTGAAACTGTTCTTAACCTAATGCACCACTTTAGCTAATGGGGCCTCCTGCTGCTGCTGCTGCACCACCGCTGCACAATTTCTGTTCTCATCCTGAAACAAAGTTCTTAACCTGAAGCACTATTTCTGGGTTAGCGGAGTCTGTAACCTGAAGCAAATGTAACCTGAAGTGAATGTAACTCGAGGTACCACTGTACTACTGAGAGCCCAACCTCAACTTTTCTGTACATGGCCTGTTCCACAGAAAATGGTATAAAGTTCAACAGAATGGAAGCCCCAAGGACATCTTCTATGGGGAACTGGCTTCAGGCACCAGGCCTGTTGGCAGACCAACTCTGTGCTACAAAGATGTCTGCAAAGATGACATGAAGGCTGGCGACATCAACCCTGCCCTTGCAGAAAACTGCAGTCAAGTCATGTATCCATAGCAGTGACCAGAGGAGGAATGGCTGCTGGGAGGAGCACAGAGAGAAGAAACACCACGGTGCATCTGCAACAGCACAACCAAACGCCTTAATCTGCCCCAGCTGCAATGAAACATGTTTCTCCCATATTGGTCTACACAGCCACAGCTCCAATGGTTTGACTCCCCCTCCCCAGGCACACTCCTCCATCCTCTCCTGAGACAGATGGATGCCAACAAATGATATTTTAGACAATATGCAGCCTGCTGAACCAGGGTGTAGCTTTGATTCTAGTGAAGGTAAAAAGATAAAGGACCCCTGGATGGTTAAGTCCAGTCAAAGGCGACTATGGGGTTGCGGCGCTCATCTTGCTTTCAGGCCGAGGGAGCTGGCATTTGTTCACAGACAGCTTTCTGGGTCATGTGACCAGCATGACTAAACTGCTTCTGGTGCAATGGAACACTGTGACGGAAACTAGAGGGCACAGAAACGCCATTTACCTTCTCACTGCAGCAGTACCTATTTATCTACTTGCACTGGCGTGCTTTCGAACTGCTAGGTTGGCAGGAGCTGGGACAGAGCAACGGGAGCTCACCCCGTCGCAGGGATTCAAACCACCAACCTTCTGATCAGCAAGCCCAAGAGGCTCAGTGGTTTAGACCACAGCGCCACCCACTTCTAGTGTATTGCATCAAAGCGCAGACAGCAATGTAAGACTCAGATGGGAGTAGAAGGGCTGACTGTGCCATGACAAGTTTTATGGGTTCTCTGATTGTCGCATTTGTGTCATAGGCTGGCCATTCATTTGCTAAATGAAAAGAGACAAGGCTAACAGATCCTGAGGGGATGAGGAGAAGACAGGCTCAGATTGCAGGTTTGTGATTATGAATTCTAACTATAAAGGATTTACTATAGTGAAGATTGAAATGTTCAAGAGTTTCTTTGGAGTCTAGCAGAAAGCATCGAGTCTGAGAAAACCCACACCTTTTTAGATCAGGGATGGAAACGTGTGGCTTTCCAGATTTTTTTGGACTCCAGTGCCCATAACCCTCAGCCAGCAACGCCAGGCAAACTCCCAGCAAGTCACAGCTTCCCTGTAATTGTTTTAGAGATAAATTGTGATGGGAGGGAGGAAACGAGAAAAGAGCGTTGCAAGAGCTACATCATGTACACAGATGCTTCTTCCAGGAGACAGGAAACTTTGATGCAATCTGAGTTAAAGGGAGGTGGCTTATGACAATCTTCAAAGAAAAGCTCTCAACAGGACTCATGACAGACACAAAGAGCAGGGAGCAGGCAGTTTGTTCAGTGCTGAACATCACATTCAAAACACACCTGTGCCAAAGCTAGTTTGCTACTGGTTGCATAATTACAATGACTCGTAATGACCAGAGTTGGTGGATATATTGCACTTCTGGCTTTGACACCATTGTTCATTCAACTGTAATTCCAGCACCGAAAATGTAAAAAACTCACACACCCTAAAACTAAAACAGACAAACCTGACAACCTCTCAAATGACAACATGGGCTAAGTCTAGATATTATGGCTCTAATTCAGCTAAAAGGTAGCCGTGGTGAAGTTTTGTTGAAAGCAATGAGACTTGTCATGGCTTCTTCCATTTGTTTTAGTAGGATTTCCAGAACAATCCTATGCATGTCTACCTGAAAGGAAGGCTCATTGTTTCCAATGGAATTTACGCCCAGGTAAGTGTGTACAGGCCTGCAACCTTAGTCACAACTCACTTGGGCATTTGAAGCCAAAAACAAACTGGGACTTCTCTTACTCTCTTTCCAAACTGTACACACACACACACACACACACACACACAACTATCTTGTAGCTCGGTAACCATAAAGGCTAGAGAATTATGTTTTTAAAATACTAAATGCTGGCATTTTAAAGATTTGAACAAGGCCACTAAAAGGTGTCTTAGGGACCAAATGTAGATGATGCTAAGCCTCTATGTTTTCTGCTTATGGCACACAGAAAGTACAGTTGCTGTATACAGACATTCTGTGCAAGTGTACATACAGACATGTTTAATACTTTGCTTTCCTCAACAAGTGAGACCTGTCGCTTTAGAAAAAGGCAGGGTTGGTGTGCTCTATAATGCAGCGCTTGCAGTGACGTTTGACAAACCGCAAAGCTTCCACCGAGATCTCGCAATCCTGCACGTTCATCATCTGCAAATCAAAGCAGTTGGCCGCCACAATCTGCAGGCCTTGTCCGGTGATGCTTTCACATGACTTCAGGCTCAGCCTCTTCAGATTGAAGCAGTTCAGAGCCAGGAACTCCAAGCCGGCGTCGGAGACCAGAGGACATTTCCCAATGTCTAGCGACTTGAGTTTTGTGCAATTTTTGGCAAGGTACTCCACTCCGTGGTCCGTGATGCCCTCACAGCCCCGTGCGTTGAGGTATCGCAACTTGCTGCAGTACTTGGCGATGTAGCGGATGCCGACGTCGGTGATGCGGGCGCAGTGGGCGATGCTGAGGTACCGCAGGCGCAACTCCAGCTTGGCGATCTCGCGCATGCCAAAATCGCTGACAAAGCGGCAGTCGCTCACGCTCAGCTCCCTGATGGACGTGCAGTAAATCATCAGGTAACGGAGGCCTTCGTCGGTGATGCGGATGCAGCGGCGCAGGTACAGGTGTGTCAACTGAGTGCAGTGGGCAGCAATGGTGTGCAGTCCTTCATCTTCAAGGACAAAGCAGTCTGTCATGTCTAGGTAGCGGATAGAGATCTGTTTTCCATGTAAAGGAGACAACTTGATGGAAGCTTCACGGGTTAAGCTGATGCATGTAACTTTGGAACAACCTAAATTCGGGGAGGAAAAGAGAAGGTGGTTATTTGTGGCTCTGCATCGATGACTACTTCTCCTTTAAGAAAAGAAAATAACCTTATTTAGCGGGGTCTTCTATGCTAGGAATTTGAAGCTCCAGGACCTGTGTAAAAGAGTTTTGGGAAATAATCCATAGTGAATTGGAAAAAAATGTTTAAAAGTACTTTTCCAAAAAAAACCCAGAGTCCTTTTTGTTGGGGATAATTCAGATGGAAATTCCCAGGTGTCAAAAAAGGTTGTTCATGTATGCCACTACTGTGGCCTGTGTTTTGTTAGCCCAAACATGGAAAACAAGTGAGTTCCCAACCAAAGAAGAATGGCAACTTAAGCTGACGGAATATGCACAGCTTGCAGACTTAACATATAGAATAAGAGAACAAGAAGAACATACGTTTAGAGAAGATTGGAAAATGTTTATTGAATATATGGGAAATAACTGTGTACAGCTGAAAATGCTGGCAGTATTAAGATAAATCCAACAGTGTAAACAAGTTTTGATGGATGTAATAATGGAATACTGAATGGTTTAGTTTATGTAAAATATGCAGGGATTTATGATATGTAAAATGAACCATGGAAAGAGAAGGAGGTAAGTCATTGATATTTTAAGGATGTTTAAATGAGTATTGAAAATTGTAAAACATTACACACAAACACGGAATTTGAAATTTCCTGCAAGGAATATAATTAGTTAGCATCTTCAAGTTACACAAAATAAGACGTATTCCACAGTTTGGTACCTCTGTTTTGTTTTTTGTTTTTAATTGTATGTAACAAGCAAGTAATATGTAAGTTTGGTGGAAGCTTACCTATCTTGATTGTGCCAGTAATTAATGCTATGTGTGCGCTCTGTATTTGTAAAAGGCCTCTGATCAATGGAACTAGCTTTATTCTGGACTCTGGCCACTTGAGAGTTTGGATGGCAACTACACTTCTGTCCTGGGCAAATTGCTGCCAAAGTATATGGAACTTGGCCACCCCTGGCTTACACAAAACCAACTACCTGGGTCCATATGCATAAGGGAAGGAAAGACATGATTCACATGCTTGCACATTGGTCATTGCTGTAGAGGGAAGTGAGGAGCAGATGAGGCTCATCAACCTGGGAAGGTAGCATTGCAAGATATCTTCAGGAGAAGAAAATGCTATGGAGTAAACCCTACACAAATCTGGAGTGGAGTCCCTAAGATTGTATCCATCCTTCCATCAACCCCTGCAGCCAAGCTGGTGCCAAACATATTGCTCTGCTTTCCTTTGAACCACTTCAGCAAGGTCAAGGGGGGGATATCATGTTGTCTGGGCAGCCCAGGACCTCCAGACACACTGCCCAGGCTTGCACTTGGGGAGGTCACTTCAGTGTTGCTAACACAGTGGTTTGATTTCGCGTCCGGAGGTGTACTCCAGTGTTGAAGCAATGATTCTTCAACATCAACTTCGTTGGACTGGTCTTGTTGTGCGGATGCCTGATTATCGTCTCCCAAAGCAACTACTCTATTCCGAACTAAAAAAATGGAAAGTGTAATGCTGGTGGTCAACAAAAGAGGTTTACAGACTTCTCAAGGCAAGTCTAAGAAAAAGGTAGTATAAACACTGACAACTGGGAAACACTGGCCTGCGAGCGCTCTAATTGGAGAACAGCCTTTACCAAAGGTGTCATGGACTTTGAAGATGCTTGAACTTAGGACGAAAGGTGCTAAGAGGAAGGCACACTTGGCAAACCCTCACTGTGATCAACTCTCATCTGGAAACCTATGTCCCCACTGTGGAAGGACGTGTGGATCCAGAATTGGTCTCCACAGTCACTTACGGACTCACTGTTAAGACTGTGTTCATGGAAGACAATCTTACTCAGCTATGAGTGATCGCCAAAGAAGAAGAAGATGACTCCATTGTCTCTCGAGACAGACAGATGCCAACATCAACATTTGTCTTTAGAGGGGCCCAGGTGATGTAACTAATTCATGCCAGTACCAAAAGGCTTTTGCCTACACTCTGGTCTGTACGATCCAAGTTGCTTCTCCTAAGGAATTATGATGCAATGGCAGAGGGTTTAAAAGGAAGATTTAATCCATGCTGTGAGAGCTGCAAGCAACTTTGTATCATGCGCGTTGTATCTTCCATGACACAGCATGACCTATGAGCACAGCCAATGTAGCCTGCAGATGTCAGGAAGATTTCTCAGATGAATATCATCTATTTGAGGACTCCAAACCACCTACAAGAAAGGTAAGTAATTCACCCACCACCTTGTCATAGAAGGTCTTTCTGCCTGTGTTTTAAATATAATGACATTTTCCTGTGGCTGAAACCACTTTTCCTGTCCCAAACAATAAAGATGTAAAAACCTGCAGGCTCATAGCAGTTTTCCACAGAGGAAATGTAAAGGATTTGAAATGGAAGGAGAAAGTTTCAAGAGAGCTGAAAGAACTTTGGCCAGCCTTTGAGATAATGGTTTGCAGTCAAGCTCACATGTATAGGAATCTTGCCCAAAACTGATCTCTCTCTTAAAAGTGGAAAAAAACTGAATGCTAACTTCTGTGTGGTTTTGACATGAAAATATTATTTCTAGGATACCTAATTGAACAGAACCTGAACGACTCAAACAAGGCCTTGGGAAACTTTCAAGCTGTCAAATGGTCACAGTAATATTCATAGAATAACTGGCTATTATTACTATTATAAATAAATTTGTATACCGCCCTATACCTGTAGGTCTCAGGGCAGTTCAGAGGATAATAATATAATAATTTAATAATAATTTATATTTTATACCCCGCCCATCTGGCTGGGTTTCCCCAGCCACTCTGGGCAGCTCCCAACCAAATATTAAAAATACAATACAGTATTAAACATTAAGAACTTCCCTAAACAGGGCTGCCTTCATATGTCTTTTAAAAGTAAGATAGTTGCTTATTGCCTTGACATCTGATGGGAGGGCGTTCCATAGGGCAGGCGCCACTACCGAGAAGGCCCTCTACCTGGTTCCCTGTAACCTCACTTCTCGTAGTATACATAATCAAAACAAAAACAACCCATTAATGCCCCCAACACATTCTAAAAGGGCATTGGAGGAACATTTTTGCCTGGTACCTAAATGTGTATAATGAAGGCACCAGGTGAACTTGGTTCATGCAAAGGACAGGTCTCACTGCATGGTTACAAATAGATTCCCAGAAAAAATGCACCTTTAGCAACATGCACACTTTGGAAATATGCAGGTGTACTCGATACATGTGCTGAGCTGGATGCACACCTCCTGCCCTTGCATGTTCAGTCAGTTCCACGTGATTACGGACACCAAACTCACTCACCCGCTCCCTCTTTCCGCCTTAATGCTCGCTCACATAAAAGCTATAGATTGTGTGCACCTGCTCATTCAGGAGAGTTCTCACACCAACAGAGATGCAATGGATGACTCTGCTCAAGAACATGTGGAAAGGAATGTGGATCGTGACAAATCTCATTCTCTCCCGTGCAAATATCCTGGATAATTCTATCTGCTTCCTGTCACATATGTCTGGAAGTGAGCCAAAGTGGTTAAATCATCCATACACACAAACACACCATTGTCATCTTTTTTGCTATTCGTCATGAATTTATGCAACTACTTTCCTTTCCTTTATCTTATTTATGATTTTCAGTTTTATACATTTCAATAATTTTACCCCCATTTTAACATACAAAAACTTATGGAATATGCAGGAATGGCGAAACTTACTGGAAGAATGAGAAATCAAGATAAACTTTTTATAAAAGAATGGAAATAGTTTATGGATTATTTACAAACAAACTGCAAAGAGATAAAAACATTGGCAGGATTATTGTAATAACCTGCAGTTTTATAAAAGTATATATTTAAAGCAGATGAATAAAAGAGCAAATTAAGTTAATTTGGATATGCAGACGATATTAAAAATAAATTTAAGGAACCGCAGAAAGAGGGGGAAGGAAGTCAAGTTTTGAAATGTTAAAATGATTGTAAAATTAATGAATTGTATAAACCTGAAAAGCATAAATATTTTTTTAAAATAAAAAACCCCAGCTACTTTTAAGTCCCATTGATATTTGTCTGTAACACTCAATGGGTACTTCTGGTGTGTGGTTCAATAGGCTATAGATGCTGATATGCATCACTGTATTCTTCGTATCCTTTTAATATGGCAATAAGTTGAGTTCAGAGCAGGCAGCTGAGACTTGGTCTGCCAAGTTTCATTAAGAGGAACCGGAAAGATGTGCATATTCCTTAGCTCAGACAACCTCTCCAGCAGAGGGTAGTATTGCACACACCGTTCAGCACAACGTTTTGAATATTTGGGAATTAATTCAATCTCATTCTGTTGTAGCAACTGCAATGAAGAGAACCCTGTAGAAACTAAAGACTTGGATGGGCAAAAGTGACCATTGCAGCTTTTCTCAGCTTCCATATTTTGAAGTTAGGGAAGTTTTAAGTGAGGGAACTTAGGGTTTTGAAAAAGACCTCATGAAAATAAATCAGCATTTTAATGAATATTTCTCCTGATCTGCACATTTTGGTGTGCAATTTTTCCTAATCTATGCATTTTTGCAAACCAATTTCCCCAGTATAGTGCATTTTTGTATGTTATTTTCACTAAAATATGTACATTTACACCAGTATATGCATTTTTGTGCACATTACTTGTCTGAATAACTGCATTGCAATATTTGGGAACAGCGAATTTCAAAGGATGACTTTGTTTTGGTTCATGTATTGTTTTGGAAAATGCAAGTCTGGTAGGCCTGCCTTTAAATGCAACCTGAACTGAATTTATCCCACACCCCTAGTTGTATTATAATAGCTAGTCTTTAAGGTGCCACTCTGAGGACACGGGTGGCGCTGTGGGTTAAACCACAGAGCCTAGGGCTTGCTGATCAGAAGGTCGGCGGTTTGAATCCCCGTGACGGGGTGAGCTCCCGTTGCTCGGTCTCTGCTCCTGCCAACCTAGCAGTTCGAAAGCACGTTAAAGTGCAAGTAAATAAATAGGTACCACTCCAGTAGGAAGATAAACGGCGTTTCCGTGTGCTGCTCTGGTTCACCAGAAGCGGCTTAGTCGTGCTGGCCACATGACCCAGAAGCTGTACGCCGGCTCTCTCGGCCAGTAAAGCGAGATGAGCACCGCAACCCCAGAGTCGGCCACGACTGGACCTAATGGTCAGGGGTCCCTTTACCTTTACCTTTAAGGTGCCACTGGACTCTTTGTTGGTTTTGTATACCTGAGGCAATTTCTACCTCTGCAAACTATGGCTTTAATTGAAAAGACACATGAAAGACAAGCCCCCACTAATTTAAGCAAAAGGTCACTTTGGAGAAATGAGCATTAGCCTTGAAGGTTTTTTTAAAGATCAGAAAATAGAAAAGAAAAATGCATCAACTAGAACACAAAGGAGTTGGGATTTAGCTTTTAAGCATTCCATTCACACACAAGCACACCCATTCATCCATCATTTTTTCATTTCCCTACACACAGAGACTAGAATCAGCATTCCATTTCAAATATCAAGTACCGCTGAGCAGATACAAGTCTGAACCTTGGCATCCGCAACAAGAGGGCTTTAGCCCTTTGCCCCATGCGGTGGTCCTGATCTGGTGACCTATGCCTGCAATGTGCATTGCCAAACAGCAAGCAAAAAGAACAAAAGCTGTTGGGTTAAACTTCCTTTTCCCAGAAGCCAGCATGGAGGTTTAGGAGGATGGGGTGTGTGTGAAGAGGAGAGGCCCTGGGGGCCAGATGGGAAGACTTTGGGGGCCACAATAAGCCATTTATTTATTTATACCCCGCCCATTTGGCTGTGTTTCCCCAGCCACTCTGGGCAGCTCCCAACAGAATATTAAAAGCACAATAAAACATCAAACATTAAAAACTTCCCTAAACAGGGCTGCCTTCAGATGTCTTCTAAAAGTCAGATAGTTGTTTATTTCCTTAACATCTGATGGGAGGGTGTTCAACAGGGACGGTGCCACCACCAAGGAGGCCCTCTGCCTGGTTCCCTGTAACCTCACTTCTCAAAGTGAGGGAACTGCCAGAAGGCCCTTGGAGCTGGACCTCAGTGTCCGGGCTAGATGATGGGGGTGGAGATGCTCCTTCAGGTATACTGGGCCGAGGCCGTTTAGATCTTTAAAGGTCAGCACCAACACTTTGAATTGTGCTCGGAAACATACTGGGTACCAATGTAGGTCTTTCAGGACTGGTGTTATGTGGTCTCGGTGGCCACTCCCAGTCACTAGTCTAGTTGCCGCATTCTGGCTTAGTTGTAGTTTCCGGGTCACCTTCAAAGGTAGCCTTCAAAGGTAGTGCGTTGCAGTAGTCCAAGCGGGAGATAACTAGAGCATGCACCACTCTGGTAAGACAGTCTGCGGGCAGGTAGGGTCTCAGGCTGCGTACCACATGGAGCTGATAGACAGCTGCCCTGGACACAGCGCCTCTTAGTTGAAAAGCCAGTGTGGTGTAGTGGTTAAGAGCGGTAGACTCGTAATCTGGGGAACCAGGTTCACGTCTCTGCTCCTCCACATGCAGCTGCTGGGTGACCTTGGGCTAGCCACACTTCCTTGAAGTCTCTCAGCCCCACTCACCTCACAGAGTGTTTGTTGTGGGGGAGGAAGGCAAAGGAGAATGTTAGCCGTTTTGAGACTCCTTCGTTTAGTGATAAAGCGGGTTATCAAATCCAAACTCCTCCTCCTCATCCCTGACTTAAGCAAAGTTCTCCACCCAAATTTAAGCACAGATATATTTTCTATTACCTGACACATCCAAGTGCTCCAGGTTGGGACACAGCGACACCACATCGAAGACCGCCTCGTTGGAAATATTGTAGCAACCCGACACCTCTAACTGCCTCAGTTCAGGGCAGCATTGAGCAATAGTATAGAGTCCTCTGTCTGTGAGCCGCCTGCAGCCACTAACAATTACCGTCTCCAACATGAGACAGACGTTGGGCGTGTCCTGGCAAAGTCGCCGAGTCAGCACCTTCAGGGCTCTGTCCACGTTGATTGTCTCGCCCGTCAAGCGAATAGTCCTCCAGAGATGTGGGTCCCAAGCAAGATTATACCAGCGGCGACACACACGGGCACAGCGGCACAGCTGGTTGGTAGGCAGGAAAGAGAAAATCTGGATCACTGAATGGTCCGGCAGCCGGTCGATGTTAGCCCGTTCCTTCTGAAGTCGGGAGGCAGACCGGATGAGAGGATGGGTAAGGCGGGTTGGAGGAGGCGAGTGAACCATTGCGATGGTCTCCCCGGTAATTGAAGAGGACGATGTGGAAGATCCCCGGCCATTCTGCAAAATGTGCGAATTTGGCGGACATATTAGCGCTGGGCTGGGCGTGCTGAGAGTCCGCATGCTCAGGTCCGAATCTGAAAGAAACCAAAACACATAGAGATGAGAATGACCCATGTTTTGGAGGAGCCCATGTTTTAAAATATCATGAAGTCATCAGAAGGATTTGGATTCGTAGCAATAGAAGATGCCCCCCAAAACTGATATTGACCCGATTTGGCCATGACTTATGTCAGGAACAAACCAGAGCAAGCCTTGGGCTTGTATGCTCTCCTGTGTTCTGTTGGGACCAGGAGTTTGTAAGTCCTTTCTTTCTTTCTTTCTTTCTTTCTTTCTTTCTTTCTTTCTTTCTTATAGTTTCTTATAATTTGTTGTGTCACCTGGAGTCATAAACTGTGGTTACCCCTAACTATGATTAATGTCTTACAAGCCAACAGTTTCCCCCCAATAAAGTTTGAAAAAAGATATACAAAAGTTAATATCAAAATTTCCAGTATCTTTTTATATCAAAGATAAAAGAAACTAATCTAAATAAAAACAAAACAAAGGAAAACAAAGAGACAAAGAAAAAAGAAATTCCAATTCTTTGTCAGTCAGCTATATATGTAGAAAAATATTCAAAACACCCACTCCAAGATAACACCCAACAATTCCACTTTCTATAAACCAATATTTTCTTCCATCCTCAAACCCAGATATCACAAGTCCATTTTCTTGTAAAAAGTCGCTAAGGGGTTCCCAGCCTTTAGTAAATATTGACAACGATTTTTCCCTAACTAAACACATCAGCTTCACCAACTTGTAAGGCAAAACATGGGCTATGAATCTGACTTTCTGAAATTAACCATAGTTGGTATTAACCATAGTTCTCAGTTCAGATGACACAGGAAGCTGCAGTTAAGTAGAAGTGGATGATTCCAAACTCCTCCTCTGGACTGCATGCTCTGTCAAAACTATGATATACTGCAAAGTATGAACATAGCTGTTTGAATCACAGGAATGACTAACAGAACATGCATTTTATTAACAGATTCCTATACCGTAAACGTGGGACGTGGGTGGCGCTGTGGGTTAAACCACAGAGCTTAGGACTTGCCAATCAGAATGTCGGCAGTTCGAATCCCCGCGATGGGGCGAGCTCCCGTTGTTCGGTCCCAGCTCCTGCCAACCTAGCAGTTTGAAAGCACATCAAGTGCAAGTAGATAAATAGGTACCACTCCAGCGGGAAGGTAAACCGTGTTTCCGTGCGCTGCTCTGGTTCGCCAGAAGCAACTTAGTCATGCTGGCCACATGACCCGGAAACTGTACCCTGGCTCCCTCGGCCAATAAAGCGAGATGTGCACCGCAACCCCAGAGTTGGTCACGACTTGACCTAATGGTCAGGGGTCCCTTTACCTTTACCTATACCGTAAACACAGATATGTGCTACCAACTCTTCATCCTTAGATATAAGGAAATAAGTACGAAAATTCAGCGATAGGGAAGTGTATTGTTTTTCCTAAGCATGTATTTAGAGGGTTTTCCCAGGAAACTACTGTCAGGTACACTACAAGGTGTACTGAGAAGGGAAACCCTCCCACATTTCAGTTGATCCTGTCCATTTTTCCCTCCTAGACCCATTGGTACACGGTCTTTGGTCACTTTTCCCAAAGGAAATGTGGCCCTCAGCTCTGAAATGTTGCTTAAAGGTAAAGGTACCCCTGACCATTAGGTCCAGTTGTGGCCGACTCTGGAATTGTGGCATTCATCTCGCTCTATTGGCCAAGGGAGCCGGCGTACAGCTTCCGGGTCATGTGGCCAGCATGACTAAGCCGCTTCTGGAGAACCAGAGCAGCGCACGGAAACGCCGTTTACCTTCCTGCCGCAGCGGTCCCTATTTATCTACTTGCACTTTGACGTGCTTTCGAACTGCTAGGTTGGCAGGAGCTGGGACCGAGCAACGGGAGCTACCTCGTTGGGGGAGTTGAACCACCGACCTTCTGATCGGCAAGCCCTAGGCTCTGTGGTTTAACCCACAGCATCACCCGTGTTCCTCGTTGCTTACTCGTCAAAGCCATTCAACAGGGGATTTTTTTTATAACTGAAGGAAGATAGCCTTACTGGCATTGATTCTAGACACAGTTGTAAGCAGGGTGGATTTGATTTAAACCAAATCAATTTAAATCATGATTTAAATCACAATTTAAATCACTAGTCAGTAAGACTTGATTTATTATTTTTTAATTTATTTTTACGAAAGACTCATTCTTGCTGGTATCATCTTAATATTTACAACCAAAGGAAGGTTTTATTTTTGGAAGAATAAATTTTCAGAGTAGTTTTTTACAGTTATATCAAAAATTATTGATTTGGTTATCCCTATTAGAAATACACAGACACATAATTATGAAATCATTGTGAGATTTAATATGTTAAAATAATCAGAAATTATTGTGAGGTTGAATAAAGAGGCCAAATAAAAGGTCATGCTCAATCTCTACCCACAAATCCCCCAGCCCCCGCCAGCATCCGGCATTGCTTTAAGCGAGCAGAGAAATTAAAAGTTGACAATTGGGCGAGGCTTCCTCCATAACCTCTTAATCAGCTCTTGGCAGAGACACTTAGTCGTGTCAGACACTTGCAGATTTGAGGAAAGGTTGACCTTTTACCTTGTCATGACCAAGACTCCTTTTCCTATCCCAGATCAGATAACAAGGTGGCTTCTCGTGTCAGCGCCGCACAATGTTTCTTGTGTTAGCACAGGGATCAACATAAGGCTCTCAAATGCACAACTACACCCTGTGGGCACCATAACTATAAAACAATGCAGTTTTCAAGTTATAATACTGTCACCCGCTCCAAGACATCTACATGTTTGCTGGTACAATGCAGAGCAGGCACAGCACTCCTAGGAGAGTTCCTCACCATAAGAACATAAGAATACGCTTGTAGGATCAGGCCAGCAGTCCACTATTCTAGCATCCTGTTCTCACAGTGGCACAACAGCAGTCTCCCCTCTTGGGGTTTCCAGCTACTCAATATTATCTTTCCACAAGGGCCAACACTGATGCCGAAATCCAGCATCGTCTGAACTCTGCAAGTTCAGCTTTCTCCCTACTGAAGCGCAGAGTGTTTGAGGACCAGGACATTTGCAGGGAAACCAGAATGCTTGTTTACAAAGCTATTGTACTACCAACATTACTGTATGCTTGTGAAACATGGACCACTTATAAACGCCATCTCCAACTCCTCGAAAGATTCCATCAACGGTGTCTCCAAAAAATTTTACACATCACTTGGGAAGATAGGAGAACTAATGCCAGTGTACTGGAAGAAGCAAAGATCACCAGTGTCAAAGCGATGATTCTTCAACATCAACTTCGTTGGACAGGCCATGTTGTGCGGATGCCTGATTATCATCTTCCAAAGCAACTGCTCTATTCTGAACTTCAAAATGGAAAGCTTAATGCTGGTGGTTAACAAAGAAGTTTAAAGACTCACTCAAGGCAAATCTAAAAAAATGTTGTATAAACACCGACAACTGGGAAACACTGGCCTGAGAGCGCTCCAATTGGAGAACAGCCTTTACCAAATGTGTCATGGACTTTGAAGATGCTTGAACTCAGGACGAAAAGGAGAAACGTGCTAAGAGGAAGGCACATTCAGCAAACCCTCACCATGATCAACTCCCGCCCAGAAACCTATGTCCCCACTGTGGAAGGACATGTGGATCCAGAATTGGCATCCACGGTCACTTATGGCTCACTGTTAAAACTGTGTTTATGGAAGAGAACCTTACTTGGCTACAACTAATTGCCAAAGAAGAAGATTCGGGAGCATCCTGACTCTGACCATAGTGTGAAGTGAACCAATAAAGCACCAGTCCTTCTTCAGACCTTTTTAAATATTTCCCAAGCATTCATGCCCTATCACTGTCTCTGCTAGTTTACAGTCATACAAAGAACAACAGCTTTAATGACAGCATGGTATTGGTAAAGTATAGCGGGAGGGCAATTTAAAATTGCCCTGTGTGCTTTAAACATTATTTTCCACCAAACAAGATAACTGGCTTGTTTTATCAAGGCACTTAATTGCAACGCTTGTTTAAAATGCTGGGGTGTGTGTATTTATATTATGGGGAACTCAACATTGAAAAAGCAGTCCATTACTTTCCCCTGTGTGATTATCGGAGCTATTTTGCACAATGATTATAATTATAGTTTCCCTCCAATTCTCAGGATTGTTTGTTGACCCTGAAATAAGGAGGAGGAGTGGTTGTTTGATGAAGAATGTGCAGCTATGCAGCGGTGTAAGCCCTTGTTCTCTGTACCAGATGTGAAGATTTAGTGCCATAATGAGAAGAGATTGTGTATAAACATGCACTGCGGAGTCAAATATTGAGGTCAGAAGTGCAGCACGTGTGCATATTGTATATTATTTTAATTTTTAGCCCAGCTTTCTGCAACCACCTGCCCATGGTGACTTGCGACAGTTACAAAATACCTTTAATAATATTCTCAAAAGCACAAAACAAGTACCCCAAAAAGCAAGAGCAGGAAAAAACGGCAGTTGATGCAAAACCACTATCACTCTTTGCCTCCCACCGATGAGCAACTGAGATGCAGCGACAAAATTCTGTCTCGATACTTTTCATTCATTCAGCTCAATGGGAAGAGGAGAGCTGAGCCGCCGTGTAATATGTGGTCTCATTCAAATGCATTTATTTACTAAGGATCTCCTGAGGCTCTGGGATGGTACAGTATCAGTGAACAATTGCATCAAAAGGGTTGTCAGGATTTACTCCTTGCCTGTACTTCCAGATTCTTAATGGGCACCTGTGAGATTGTACGGCACATATGGTGGTGGAGACAGGTTGGTTCATATTGACACCAATGTGTGGCTGATGGTTGGGTACTATTTGCTCACTTAAAAAGCAGTCCGTATAGTTAAAGCTATGGTTTCCCCAGTAGTGATGTATGGAAGTGAAAGCTGGACCATAAAGAAGGCTGATCGCTGAAGAATTGATGTTTTTGAATTATGGTGCTGGAGGAGACTCTTGAGAGTCCCATGGACTATAAGAAGATCAAACCTATCCATTCTGAAGGAAATCAGCCCTGAGTGCTCACTGGAAGGACAGATTCTGAAGATGAGGCTCCAATACTTTGGCCACCTCATGAGAAGAGAAGACTCCCTGGAAAAGACCCTGATGTTGGGAAAGATGGAGGGCACAAGGAGAAGGGGATGACAGAGGACGAGATGGTTGAATTCTGTTCTTGAAGCTACCAGCATGAGTTTGACCAAACTGCGGGAGGCAGTGGAAGACAGGAGTGCCTGGCGTGCTCCGGTCAATGGGGTCACGAAGAGTCGGACACGACTAAACAACTAAACAACAACAACAACAACAAAAAAGCAGTGCTTTGTTTTCCAGTCTCTTTAAACTGGAGGAGGAACTGGGAAACCTGACTGGGTTGCCTGTGGGCTGAACCCAGAAATGAACTGAATGAAAATAAATGCTGTGAAAGAGAAACAGAGAAGCAGAAGTGATAAATAATAGACTTAGAGATAGAATCATAGTTTGTAGAGTTGGAAGGGACCACAAGGGTCCCTGCAATGCAGGAATTGTTCACCCAACACAGAGCTCAAACCCACAGCCCTGAGATTAAGAGTCTCGTTCTCACCCAACTGAGCTACCTCAGGCTTGCATGAAAGGCTGAGAAGAGTGTTTTCTTTCACATATCTTGCTTGCGTGTCAGGGACCATGCTGAGGATGGCTGCACTGAGGAAGAATGGTGGGGGCCACCCCCTCCCCCTGATCCTGAATCTTCCCAGGAACAGGAGGACAGCATAGATTTGGAACAGTGGTTTGCAGAGGGGCACAGTTCAGAAGGCAGAAGCTGGGAAATACTGGATGGGAAACTACTAGCAGAAGAAACACTGGAAGAGAGAGAGTTAACAGATTCACAGTCTCTGGACAGCATTCACCCCTCCCTCCCTTCTCCAAAGACACATAGAGCTCAGAAAGTGTTCGAACAGAAAGCACAGAGGGTACAAATTCAGATTACAAAATGTAGGAGTGACGTAGATTAATAGGGACGGAGGGGATGAGTGACCCTTAATTGGGAGAACTGCCATTTTTAGGAGATGTGTTCTTTGTTCTTTCACTGTGATTATTAAAGATTCTAACCGGTAAGGTGTTCCTTTTGTTTGATCTCTTATCTACTGACACAGGGGGAAGAAGCCTGATATTGGGCCACTCACTTCCATTGCAGCAATGGATGAACTGAAGAGTGGAGGCAATGGTTCCCCTGACCCATAACTCTTTGACCAAGTAGCTGTGGTGGCAAGTTGAGTGACTGGATCCCTGGATCACCTTTCCCCCTCACACAATTGTTAGTAGCAGAACCGAAATTCCTCCACCCTCTGGCTGTGTTGAACATCCCAGTGCCTGGGGACACGAACTCTGAAAGTTCAACCACGTGACCGTAAGACAGAAGAACTGCACTGCACTTAATATCTATGACACAGTGGAATGACAGGTCAGACCAGAGCACAAAACGTGAGGAAGGTTTGGAGTTCTTTTGTGAAAATCTGGATTTAATTTCTTCCTCCGCCAGTTCTGTCCCTTGCCACTTGGCAAGAATGATTTTTGCTTCCCGTATTTTGAATAGAACTAAAAATACCACAGTTGCCTTTGTTTAACAAACAAAAAGCAGCAATCTGCATATGCGAAGTCTGCCAAGACATTTTTGGTTTTGCATCAGCATCTTCAACGGTGCCAGCGCAGCAACTCTGCAAAGGGTTTGTCATTGCCGCAAAGTCACTTGGATACAGACATATCAAGGGGAACAGTTATGTTTATACATACAGTGTGTGTGACTTAAAATAAATACACATGGTGAAAGCGAATCTTGCAAAAAGACCAGACTAAGTTTTTTCCCTTAATTGCTGTAATTATTGCAGGAATTACATAAGCAAAACAAAATGCTAATTAAGGTTTATCTAAGTAAGGTTTATCTTTTGCCAGACAGCTAAGCATTGTCCTGCTAAGAATTCATGATCCCTGAGGATGGTTCCTTACCAGTAACACACTAGTAAGACCAGCAATATAACCTTGCAGTGTGCAGCTGTTTTTGTACAGGGATCTGCCTGGCCGGCCCCAAATATGGTAATATTGCAATACCAAAGTTGTGAAACCTCCTGATCAATTTGGTTGCCGTCTTCCGCACTTTTCCCAGCTCTGCAATATCCATTTTGAGATGCAGCAACCAAAGCTGTACACGGTATTCCGAGATGGTTGGACAGTGTTCTCGAAGCTACCAGCGTGAGTCTGACCAAACTGCGGGAGGCAGTGGAAGACAGGAGTGCTTGGTGTGCTCTGGTCTATGGGGTCACGAAGAGTTGGACACGACTAAATGACTAAATAACAACAAAATTATTTATACCCCATCCATCTGGCTGGGTTTCCCCAGCCACTCTGAGCAGCTCCCAACAAAGTATTAAAAACACGATAAAACATCAAACATTAAAAACTTCCCTAAGCAGGGCTGCCTTCAGATGTCTTCTAAAAGTCACATAGTTGTTTATTTTCTTAACATCTGATGGGAAGGCGTTCCACAGGGCAGGCGCCACTACCGAGAACGCCCTCTGCCTGGTTCCCTGTAACCTCACTCCTCGCCGTGAGGGAACCGCCAGAAGGCCCTTGGAGCTGGACCTCAGTGTCCAGGCTGGACGATAGGGGCAGAGACGCTCCTCCAGGTATACTGGGTCGAGGCCATATAGGGCTTTAAAGGTCAGCACCAACACTTTGAATTGTGTTTGGAAATGTACTGGGAGCCAATGAAGTTCTCTCAAGACTGGTGTTATATGGTCTCAGCAGCCACTCCCAGTCACCAGTCTAGCTGCTCAGGAGTGTGGGAAGGTGGCGGCGGTGCTTGGGGGCACAGGGAAGCTGAACAGGCAACGCGCATTGGGTGTCGCCATTTCTGCTTGCTGCTCGGTGTGCGCAGCAGCATGCAAATGCGACTTGAAGCACAATGTGTGTGGGGAAACCTTGCTGTGTTTTAAGCCCCTAATGCGTACATACCCTTAGCTACACTAGCAACCACGCCAACTTCCCCTTGAAGTTTCTGGAGCCGTTCCCTTTGTGCTATTATAAATACATAAGAGCGAAATCACAGAGAATGTAAACTTGGCGGGGCATCCAAACGACAACAAAACAACCAAGACTCTCATGGAGTCAGGCTCTTTTATGGGATGCAAGTCCATCCCTCAGTTGTCCACCCTTTTCTCATAAGCGTATCTAAACCTAAATAACGAGGACCTTACATTTACGAGAGCAATTAGTCTTTGTTTAGAAAGGCCTATTTGTCTGTCTCCTATATTTTTTAGTGTTTCCCAAACCCCTTTTCTTTGCCTAAAGCAAACAATTCACTGTTTGGATTTTTAATTGAGAGCTGGCCACAACCCATGTTTGTTTCATGTAAGGATATCTCTTTTCACATACAAAACGATGTGGAGATATCGAATTTTCATGAGACCTGGAATGCCAGCTTTATGAGGAGACACTGTAAGAGAACGTATGTTTCTGACTCAGGCATTTGCAAGGGTTTTCGTTTGCAGCTTCACTGAAAGAAGGGGATAAGGATGTTTGGTTTAGCAACTTGGCCTGGGAGATAAGCACTCTGACCCAGAAAGCGCACTGACACACAAAAGCAGCTCCTGCGTAAACAGGTCGCCCTCAGGACTTCACAAAACTGGTGAGCTTTGACTGTCATGCAGAAAGTTCCATGTTCCACTGTGAAACACTTTTGCTTTTTATTTTTTAACCTAAGAGAGAGACACAAATATTAAAAGGGATTCTCTGCTTCTCATCCAAGTCTTGGGACATTATGCGGAGAGATGTGGGGAAGCCACAAACATCTGCTGCATGAAGTCTTAAGAGAGTTGAGTTGGGGTGGAAGGAGGATGAGCAGTTGCATAAACATAGGAACCCCCAAACTGCCCTGACCAGGAGTGTTAGCTTGGCCCCGTGACGGTGAGTGCCCAGCGCCATGGGTGCCATGAGGTGTGCATGGCCCTGGAGCCAGAATTTGTGGGTGCCCAGCACCTTCATAGGAAATTTTGTGGGTGCTTGTGGATCCAGGGCCCCAGGCAGCTGGCAACTATGGCCCTGACAAAAAAGAAAACCAGCAGTCTCAGCTGAGGAGTTCAGGAATAATGATAATGATAATAATATTTTTAAAATTATATCCCGCCCATCTTGCTGGGTTTCCCCAGCCACTCTGGGCAGCTTACAACATACATAAAAACACAACAAAACATCAAACATTAAAAAACAAAATATCCTATACAAACAGCAAATGAACCAATAAATCAATAGAAACCAGTAACAATAATAATGACAATAGTAACAGTTTACAGTTATGCCCATATTAAAATAACCGCCAACCCCAACTAAATATTTAACCAACACTAACCCGACAAAAACGAAACAGAGGAACCAAAATTAGAACAGTTTGAAACATTTTAAAACATTTTAGCCAGTTGCCCCAACACAAGAGTTGTTCCAGCAATGTCCCTCTGGCTTCCCAGGAGCCTCTTTTAGCTGTTCAAGGGGAGTCTGGGCTTTGCCACTAGGTGGAAATAGGCCTTGCAGCAGGGAGCGGTCTTCTTTCCAGCAAGGAAATTACTTGTGTGTCCTTGTTTCTCAATTTGATCCTTTTACATGTTTTTGTATGTTTTGTGGTATTTTGTGTATTGTGACTTGCCATTATTTTTATTGATTATAGTTTAGTAATCATTTATTGTAATTGTTTAATTATTATTCAATGATCTTTAATTTTATGGTTTATTATTATATTCAAAGGGATTGTTGAATATTGCTGTATCTGATATAAGTTGTTTATTTTCAAGTTATGTTTTTATTGTGACTTTTCTGTATTGGATCAGGTTGTTATCGGGTGTCTGGTCTACACTATTTTGTCTATTTCTTCAGCTTTCAAGCCACCTTGTGCATAGTAATATAGAAAGGCGGTATACAAATTAAAAGTGAAATCAAACGAAAATGAAAATTTAAGAAAGATGCTGACAAGCTGGAACGTGTGCAGAGGAGGGCAACTAAGATGACCAAGGGTCTGGAAACCAAGCCTTATGAGGAATGGTTGAAGGAGCTGGGCATGTTTAGCCTGGAAAAGAGGAGACTGAGAGGAGATATGATAGCTATCTTCAAATACAGTGGTACCCCACAAGACGAATGCCTCGCAAGACGAAAAACTCGCTAGACGAAAGGGTTTTGCGTTTTTTGAGTCGTTCCGCAAGACGAATTTCCCTATGGGCTTGCTTCGCAAGACGAAACGTCTTGCAAGTTCTTGCGAGTTTGTTTCCTTTTTCTTAAAGCCGCTAAGCCGTTAATAGCCGCTAAGCCGCTAAGCCATTAATAGCCGCTAAGCCACTAATAGCCGTGCTTCACAAGACGAAAAAACCGCAAGACGAAGAGACTCGCGGAACGGATTAATTTCGTCTTGCGAGGCACCACTGTATCTCAAGGGCTGTCACATGAAAACAAGCAAACTTGTGTTCTCCTGCTCTGGAGGGTAGGACTCGAACCAATGGCTTCAAGTTGCAAGAGAGGAGATTCCGACTAAACATTCGGAAAAACTTTCTGACAGTAAAAGCTGTTCAGCAGTGGAACAGACAACC